TTTGTTTGTTTGTTTGTTTGTTTGTTTGTTTGTTTGTTTGTTTGTTTCCTAGCTGCTGGGATGGAGGGAGTTGCCTTCAGAAAACCCTGTGTTATCAGCTTACTTCAAACTATTAGGCCAAGAGCTGACCTTTGCTGACATCAACAAGGATCTCATTCAGCAGGCTATGAAGGTACGCACTCCCCCTAATTTTGTCTGAAGTGTTTGGCAGCTTTATCTCCTCGTCTAACCTGCTGTATCTCTGTTACATTGTAGCTTGTGACTGGACCAGCAGACAGACACACATGGCTGAAGAGAGTGATCCATCAAATCCAAAATGGCATTGCAGGACGATGGGTTCAGCCATTATATTCAGGAGAATTTCGGCACATCGTCCCTATCACTGTTGGTTGGCCATTGGAATACAGTTTATATACTACTGCTCTGGCACATGCAACGGCCCGTGGTGAGCTTGAGAACATAAGATTAGCTATATTGGATCAAACCATGGGATGGGAGACAAATTAGGAGGCAGTGGAGTGAAAAGTTATGAGAACAGAAAGGTAGGAGGGACTAATTTATGTAGAGCCTTGAAAGCCAGGACAGAAAGGGAGGAAGGAGAGCTAGTGAAAATATTTACAGATGGTTGGGACATAGTTGCAGCAGCAGGCAAGGTAGATGATTTTTGCTGCAGTGTTTTGGATGGACAGAAAAGGGAGAGGGTGAGGTAAGAATCTGAAAAACCAAAGAGAAGAAGGTGACAGTACGCAAGGTCAGAAATAACCAAAACCTGGACAAGAGATTTTGCTATAGGAATGGGGAGGAATGGGTGGATTCTGAAGGTGATGCATAAAAACACGCAGCAGATTTAGTACCAACGTGGAGAGAGAGGAACTGAAGATGGCTCAGTAGTCACTGCGTGGAATTGCCAGTAATGATAGGGACGGGAGCCGGAGTAGAGGGCTTGCAAGGGGACACGAGCAGTTCCATTTTAGACATGTTGGTTTTAACGGGTGGTGGGATATTTAGTGATCATAAGATTATGCAGAAGAGTTTTAAATTAGACAGTATTATTTGACTCTCTCTTTCACTGCAGCAGTGAATCTCACAAACTGACTACACTGTGGGTGAAGAGACATTTTCCTTTGCTTTAAACTTGCCTGTCATTAACTGAATTGAGTGGTCCTTTTTGTCCTGTATGATGGTAATGTGTCAAAGAGAGGGACCTTACCTTTGAGTAACAGTAAATTTAAATACCTCTTTACTGTCCCCTCTAATTCTTTTCTTTTCGAGGCCTAATTTTTGCAGCCGCTCACTGTATGTAGGTCTTATGATATCATTTGCTATCTTTGTTGCCCATCTCTGGATATTTTTAGTCTCTCTTAAAACGAGCAGGCTAAAGCTGAACACCTGCCTCCAAAGGAGAGCATATACCATTGTTCAATATCATATCATTAACTTTTGCAATAACTTCTATCCCCAAATATCGCATTCGCTGCCCACTGGCCCAGTTTCTTCACTGAGGTATCCAACTGGGCTCCTTTATTTCTTTCCTTTAATGAATTTTGGAAGTTAAGGGCTGATCAGCATATGTAAGCATTTTAGATGATGTTTGATTCTTATCCCACTTAACTGGTTACTCCATTGACTTGAGTGGAGTTGTTTCTGATTTACAGTGGTATAACTGAGAGCAGAATCAGGACCTATATTTATCAGTGTTCATCATCTTCCATTTATCCAATCTGAATATCATCTACCATCCTGCCATCAAATTCACCAACACATATAAGTCTTCCTGGATTTTCTTGGAATCTTTTATGATTTCTACACATAGAAACAACTTAGTGACATCAGTACAAGTCACCAGCTTGCTCACCACTTCCCCTGCAAATCATTAATAAATATAATAAATTAACTAGCCCAGGGCCACCCAGAGGATTCAGGGGGCCTGGGGCAAAGCAATTTTGGGGGCCCCTTCCATAAAAAAAGTTGCAATATTATAGAATACTATATTCTTGTGGGGGCCCCTGTGGGGCCCGGGGCAAATTGCCCCACTTGCCCCCCCCCGGGCAGCCCTGAACTAGCCTTAGTTCTAGTATGTACCCTTCATGTTCCTGACTGCTAATGTCTCTCTACTCTGAGGAGTAGTTGTTCACTACATCTCTGAGTTTCTTATTGATTATCCAGTTTTTAATTCAGGACAAGACTTTGCTTTTATCACCCTGGCTTTTATTTTCATTAATAATCTGTTATGAGAACCTTTTATCTTTACTCATTTATTTTTACTTTTACCATCTTTTACTTTTTTTCTCGGTCTCTTGTAGTTGATGTAAAGCTGTCCCCTCCTATATCTGGTGATTTTAGACCTTCACAGTTGTATGAATCCAACTTGCAACTTCGTGCTGACATCAGCCCAAGGTAAGGAAAGTGTTCTCATTTTTATCTTTCTGAGATTTACAGAGACTTCTATAGAAAAGGAGTTCTACCTCTTAAAGAGCAGTGGCTAGATACAGTGTCTGTTTGCTTATCTGTGGCAATTTCACTCTCTTTCAGTATCTACTTTAACACAGTGGCAATGATGGGAATCAACACAGAATACTTTCAGTCTTCTATTGAAATTCACTCCAAACTCCGTGTACAAGCTCCATTGAAATTTGATGCCAAGATAGACATGAAGGAAAAAAGTTTTAAGTTTGGAACAACCCCATGCCAACAGGAGACTGAGATAGCGATGGGAAGGTAGAGTTGTTAAATTTCTGTCATTTAAAATATTTTTTGTGTGCAATCTATTGGTTTGTGAAACCTTCCAACACAATAAGCAGTATAATCATTTCACATGATCAAGGATACATGTGACTCATAGTTACATTGCACCACTTTTGTGCAATGTAATTCATGATTTCTTTTGTTTGGGTTTTAGGTTTTTTTTGTAATATGGGATAAAATTTTCAAAAAGTACCTAAATCACTTTGAAACTTAATTCCCACTTTCAAAAGTGACTTAGGGCTTGGCTGTATGAATACTTAGTTCATGGCACGCTAGGGTGTAAATCTACCTTGCACTAGTCTGCTGCACACTAACTGTCTGTGCGGTCTCTGCTGCTGTGCACGAAAAGATCTTTAGTGCACTTTAATCTACTCCCATTTCAAAGGGTGGGTAGATCAAAGTGCACTAAGGAACTTTCAGTGCCCAGCAGCAGGGTCCACACAGACCCATAGCACACAGCAGGCTCGTGAGAGGCAGTGTACACCCCTGCTTGTTCGTATAGGCAAGCCCTTAGGCACTCAGGAACCTAAGTCAAATGGGTTTTGAAAATGTTACCCATTGTCTTGTACCAACCTGCAGTTCATCTAGAACCAAATGATTTCTAAGTCATGTTATTAGGCTGCAAAAATGCATTTATAAATATTTATTTGGCTCTTACAGTTCAGTGTTCAAAACTGTATGACTCTTAAAATAGAGACATTAATAGAGATGTGATTAAATCCATCCAACAGCCCTTTGGAGCTACTTATAAATAATATTTCATGCATAATCCCACAGGCATAAGGCTTTTGCTGTATCAAGAAATATAGGGGAACCAGGCACAGTGAAGAAGATTCCAGTACTCCCAGAAGGTACTGGATCAAATATTCTGAAGGAGCATTTCAAATCATCTGAAAGAACTTCGAGAGAAGGTGCCGTGACGGTAACTACCTCTTCTATGTTTGTATATTAATATTTATTTTCTCTGTACTATATGCATGGTGATATTTGTACTTCTTGTCTGTGAAATGCTACCAGTGTACTAATGTGTTCATGTTTAATGCAGCAAAGAGAGGCTTCTGACATCCTACCTAAGAAATATTCCTATGGTCCTGAGCAGGAACTTCACCACAGTGCAGAAGGAAAAACATATACTCAAGCCATTTGTGTCAAAGTGACTCGTTTTGGTTGTCAGGCCTGTTTTTACAGGAGATCACGAGATGCCTCTGTTTTAAAAAATACATATTTTCACCGATTAATTGGAGAACATGAAGCTAAAATAGTTTTGAAACCAGGTATAGTATTGAATACAAGATTTTCTGTTTATCCATGTCAGTACAGCTGAAGCAGTATATCTCCTAATGGATGTATCTGGTGTGTAGCCCCTACAGATGCAGCTATAGACAAAATACAGCTGGAGATTCAGGCAGGATCTAGAGCAGCTTTCAAAATAATCCAAGTGGTAACCCTAGAGTCCGAGGAAGAAGATGATTCATCTCCAGATGACGTGGTTCAAATGAAACTGAAGAAGATCCTAGGAATTGAAAATGTGTTTAAGGTAATTGACTTTGAGATGTTGAGGGTGTATGGGGCAGGAACCCTCTTTAAACAAATAAAAAGCAACGATTTTAAAATACATTATGGAATATCTGCATGGAAAATGGAGAATAAAGTTAGTAAGAAGGGTACAATTTCAAATGAAAGGCGTGTGTGTAAGTCAACATCAAAGGCTTGAGTGGAACTTGGGTGGTGCATAGACCTGATGTTGGCCCTCTGCACATGGATGAATTTCAGCCTAAATAAGTGGGCACGGTTATTTTTTCACCCCATCTTATTTAATAATCATAGCAATAAGATAAAATAGTAACAATTATTTCTTTTGATGTATCTAATCACCAGCATCGTTCTTTGAAATGCTGTTGCAGGTTGCAAATAGAACTCAGCGGTACAAGAAAGGAAAGACCCAGATGACAGAGTTCCGGGTAGAGCCCAATGCTAAATATCCATCTAGTTCATCTTCTTCATCCGCCGACACTTCCTCCTCTTCTTCTTCCTCCTCTTCTTCCTCCTCTTCTCCCTCCCCTTCTGGTAAGAAGGTCAGAAATCAAGATCCGAAAGACGAAACATTACAACCTAGAAACAGAGATGAGAGCAGCAGCAGTAGTAGCAGCAAAAGCAGCAGCAAAAGCAGCAGCAGCAGCAGCGGTGACAGCAGTGACAGCAGCAGCAGCAGCCGTAGCAGCAGCAGCAGCGACAGTGGCAGCAGCAGCAGCGACAGTGGTAGCAGTGACAGCACCAGCAGCAGCAGCAGCAGCAGCAATAAAGCACCTCGACCTGGAAGCAGGCATCAACTCGTCAGGGAGCCCAACAGCAGCAGCAGCAGCAGCAGCAGCGATAGCGAGTATTCCAAAACACAGGTAACGTATGTGTGTCACTAGACTGCATGGTGGTGCTGATGATGATAAAGTCAGCGTGAGTTACATTTCGGATAGCAGGTGGCTTTGTGTTGTATATCAGGAAATTATGAATTGATACTACAGAATACACTGGTCCAATATTGTGAAAACTGCACTGAGAACCCCACTTCCACCAGGCAACCACCTGTCTCAGGTGACCCCTGTACAGTATCTTCAGGGTTTCCACTGCTTTGTCTGAGATATTGCTACAGGCCACCAGAACTAGGCCACCAATTTTTGTTGGTTTATTGGTCTCTCTCTCAATGGGTTTTGCTGTTGCGTGTTTTAGTCTTAATTCTCTGGTGGAATTTCCAGGGGCTGCTAATTTAGGAGCATTAATTTTTCTATTTAAACATTTCAAGATTTATACTGTTGTTTTTTAGTCTGAAATCCTTACTTACTTCCAGTGCTGCACATTTCAATGCAATTACAGAAAGCAGGTTCTTCTATGTAAGGCTCTTCAACTTTCTACTTTTATCATTTTCAAAGAGAACTCCAGAGATCTATCAGTATCGCTTCAAGTCAGCACATACACAGGAGGTAAGTTTTCTTCACTCATTGCATCTGACTTGACATGGGTAGAATAAAATCCTGAAAGAACACACATGGGAATTACTACCTTTGTGAAGGAAAATAATTGGTATTACAGTCTTTATAATAGCAAAAACAACAAGGAGTCCTTGTGGCACCTTAGAGACTAACAAATTTATTTGGGCATAAGCTTTCGTGGGCTAAAACCCACTTCATCAGGTGGGCTAAAAAACACTTCATTAATTTTAGCCCACGAAAGCTTATGCCCAAATAAATTTGTTAGTCTCTAAGGTGCCACAAGGACTCCTCGTTGTTTTTGCTGATACAGACTAACACGGCTACCACTCTGAAACCAGTCTTTATAATGTTTACAGTTTCTAAATATGTCCCAGTGTTTTGTAGAAATATAAGAAGCCAAGGCTCTGGGATTCAGTGAGGGGAAGGGTCCCAGAGCCCAAGTTCTAGCTGGAGCCCGAACATCTACACCACAGTTAAACAGCTGTGTAGCCCCAGCCTCCGGGCTTGAGGCAGCTGATCTGGGCCAGCTGTGGGTGCTTAATTGCAGTGTAGACCTACCTTAACTCTCATTTTAGGTGCCTAAGTGCAACATTTAGTGCCACTGAAATCCCCAAACCCCCACACTCAGTTGCTGCCTTGCCCTGTAGGTGCCTGAATTTCCACCAGTGGGCATGCACAAACCTGCCTAAATCCGACATTGCTGAGATGTTCGGTGTCCTAGCTCACACCCAGCAAGATTCTCAAACTAGGCAGCCCCTCATCTATCTCCCCAGCAGGGCCTGATAAGTGTGCTCTGCATACCTCTCCCATCAAAGGCAGCCGGGGTGACCACATGTGGGAAGAGGAGCAAGAGTGTGTCCATCCCCCATAAGACCCAATAGCCAGGGCACTGCTAGGATCTGGGAGACCTATTTCAAATCCCCCCAACCCCTGCCTGATTTGGAGCAGAAACTTGAACCTAAGTTTCCCAACTCCCAGGAGCATGTCCTGACCGCCAGGATGTTCGGTATTCTGGGTGGATGGTGGCTAGGGCACTCTTGGGTATGTGGGAGATGCACGCCGAAGTCACTGCTTCCAAATGTTCATTTAATTATTTAGACAAAGTGGAACAGCTCTACAGGAGAGATTGAGAGAGCCCAGCCCTGGAATACCCTGTAGCCTGTGGGTCAGGGTACTCAGCTGGGATGTAGGAGACACAAATTCAAATCTCTGCCCCAAATTGGGCAGAGCAGGAATTTGAAAACAGCCCCAGCTCCAGGGCTATTGGCTATAATGCAGGCTTTCTCTCTCTTGTTTTTTGTAAGGAGCAGAGCTGGCTTAGGTGCCTAACTCCAGGTGAGGGTTAATGGCTGTGAATCCAAGGTGAAGTTAGGCACTTACCTATCTTTGAGAGGTGGGGCTTCGAACATGCCCCTCTCCCTGGCATTTCCTATTGCTACTTTAGGTGGCTCCCCACTCAGCTGGCTGGTGTTTGTGAATCTCTTTCTGAGGCACCTAATTCTCCCCATGCCTTGTAGAGGAGCATGCATACCTAACTCGGGCCTAAGGATTCCACTAGGTGACAGAGTGCATAAAAATTAGGTGTTGCAACACTCACTGGCACCACCACGCCTAAGTCCCTTCATGAGTTTAGCTCAAAATCCCTGCCATGAGGAACTTAAATAATTTGACAGGCTCTGATAACTTGACATCTTGGGCTAACTTCTCTTCTGATATGAACTAGCGTAGCCTCATTGACAAACACGGTATCAGTGAAGGATGCTTGTTAAGGGCCTGATCCAAAGAGGAGTCAATAGCAACAATTTCCATTGCAATCAGTGTTTCATGGAAAGTAAAGCGACCAGTAGGAAAGTAAGATGAAAAGTGGTGGTTCATCCGTTCATGGGATCAGGCCCTACATTCCTAAAGAGCAATGGACTGAGTCAGTGCTACTCTTTTATATCAAACCAAAGCTTAGCTGTGTTGCAGTGATTTTGGTATTATTTTATACGCAGCCATAGGAAGAGCTTGTAAAGCACAAGTGCTATTTGAATGCACTGTTCCTGTGTAAATAGTCTCAAATAGAGAGCAAAAGTGAACCTGACTTATGGCTTGATCCTGACAAGCCTTATCCATACAAGTAATTCTTACTCATGCAAGTAACCCAATGGGTCTGCTCAGATACATAAGAACTACTTGGGTAAGAAGATCTATGGGTGAGCAACAATTTGTAGGGTTAGACCCAAAGATATTAAAAAGGAATACGATTAAAGGTTATTGACAATAATCTGGTAATTAGAATATGCTTTAGCAGAACATTGTAAACGAATATTCTACATTGTCGTTTCAAACATCTTCCTATGAACTAACTTAAATTGCTCTACTAAGGATGTTTTTTTTTTTTATTGTTGCAGTATCCCAAAAAGGAAGTCCCAGGCAGCAGCAGCGCCACCACCAGCAGCAGCTCCTCCTCCTCTTCCTCCTCCTCCAGCTCTAGTTCTAGTTCCAGTAGCAGCGAAGACACCAACAGAGCAGGTTCCCGGGTCAGTTTCTTAGTCTTCAAGAAATGCAGTATGCAGTGTGTTAGCATGAACTTGCAATTATTGTCCAGCTAATGGGTAAAGAAAAGTAGCTGCCATATTAAATCACATGGAGCCAGACTGTGCTGACTCTTGTTTACAAGCACAGGAGAAACATGTCTGTGCAAGAAACCTTCCCTCCCTCTCCCATGTTACACAACTGTGCCACCAACAGGAGCAGGCCACATGCTTCCAACACTCTGTGAAACACAGGACTGCTTGCTCCTATTTCACCTGGAGAGCAGGACCAATCATGGAGCAGGACCCTATTGTGCTAGGTACTGTACAAACGCAGAACAAAAAGGTGGTCTCTACCCCAAGGAGCATACAGTATAAGACAAGAGATGACAGGTGATATAGACAGACAGGCAGGGTGGTACAAAGAAACAGCTTGTCTCCAAAGCTTAGTGCTGAGTATTAACAACAAACAGTATACCTAAAACATGCTGATTTAATGTATTCCGGTATTATTACGTGAATAGCGTAGCTGAAGTCGAAGTATCTTAGATTGATTTACCTTGGGTCCTCATGGGGCGGGATCGACGGCCGCGGCTCCCCCGTCGACTCCGCTCACTCCGGTGGTGTTCCGGAGTCGACAGGGAGCGCGTTCGGGGATCGATATATCGCATCTTAACGAGACGTGATATATCGATCCCTGATAAATCGATCGCTACCCGCCGATACGGCGGGAAGTCTGGACGTACCCTTAGACACTTCTTTTTATTTCCAGAAAAATGCACTTGTGCTGATTATTTGGGCTAATCCCACAGCTTTTACTCAATGTTCACTTTGTGAAAACACCCATTGATACCAACTGGAGTTGTGGCTGAATAAGCATTGCAAGTTTTGGCCCATTACATTTTTATTTATTGTATATTATATGATTGTATATCTGTAATGTGTCAAATTACATGCATTTGTCAACTTCTTACTTTCTATTTATATTATTTGTACCGTAAATAAAAGCTAACATAATATAGTAATTCTGTTGTAATATTGTTCTGAGGCATTTTTTTCCTCACTTGCCTTTAGCCTAAATTTTTGGGAGACAGTAAAGCACCAGATCTGGCTGTTATTCTTCGTGCTCTTCGAAATGACAGAAAGCTGGCAGGCTTCCAGTTCGTGCTATATACAGATTTATACTCCACCAGACCCAGGATACAAGTGTTTGTGTCAAACATCACAGGATCAAGCAGATGGAAAATCTGTGCTGATGCTTCAATCATTAATGCTCACAAGGCAACGGTAAGACTCAGAAATAACACCGCACCATTCTACCCACAATACAGCGATCTCAAGTATGTTTTACTTTTTAAAAAATGGAATGTTTTTGTCTCCATTATAGGGTTATCTGAAATGGGGCCAGGATTGCCAGGACTACAGGATTTCTTCAGAGTTTGTAACTGGCCGGTTTGCTGATCACCCAGCCATTCAAGTGAAACTGGAGTGGCCTAAAGTTCCTTCAAGAGTCAAATCAGTTGCCAGCTGGTGAGGTTTTGCCCTTTCATTTCAGCAATTTATTTTATGGTGTCCAGTTAAGCTGGGAAAATCCATATTCAGCAATGAGCTTCCAGTGATTGACTGATTGACTGTCTCTTTATTTTCTCATTTCTGATTTGTTTGAGTTTGGAAACTCATCAAATGACCCCTAAGGAGTATAAGATAACCATCTACTGTACAAACCTACCATACTGTACAAGTGGAAGGTAATCCTTCTATACCAGGCAGAAGTTACTGAAAAGTTAGGGCCAGATACTCTATGTCACGAAGCTCTTGTTCAGTAAAGCAGGGAGTGAGGTTGGGGCCTGCCAGGGAGACCATTATGGCTCACTGTTTCTCAAAGTGGACCTGTGTTGCCCTGGGGACTGCTCTAATTTATGCCAGTTGCTGTGTATGCTGGCTCTGTGCCACATAAGAGCTCCTCCACACCAGAGGACTTTTCAGCTGTCTTCATCATCTGCTCTCAGCCACAACAAAGGGGCTGGTCCTTAATATCTCCTCTAACTTATGGTCAGATAGACAATGCCTCAGATATCCAGTACTTGAGTGCCTGAGGGACCTGAGTAAACTTTACCGTTAAATCATGTTTTTCTTTTTCAAGGTTTTACACTTTCATCCCAGGAGCTGCCTATATACTAGGCTACTCTGAAATACAGCAAAAAAATCCTTCTCAACAGGCCAAGTTGATTGTGGCTCTAACTTCTCCAAGGACTTGTGATTTTGTCGCCAAACTGCCTGAGGTAAATATACAGCATAATCATGCCATCACATATTTCACCCGACAGAATACTTCGATATTTTTTTTTTATTAGAGCATTCCAAAAAAGTATTTGAAAACATTAGTTCAGATTAAAACCATGATATTGATTCACTGTTGTCTATGGTACTTTTACTTTCTTTCCAAGGACATTCATGTGGTGATATTTGTTCAGAGAAAGTGCCATGAATACTTATGTTAATCTGTGTTTGTCCAGCCATCTTGGAAACTCTTTTTGAGTTTGGAAGTTATCCACTCAGAAAGCAGAAACAATACCATATGATTTAGGTGACCAATCACATAGCAGGCGTGAATACTGGCAATAGTCATGGTGAAGAGTTCACGAGAAGTGAATATGTTGAATTATGTTCACATAAACTATTTGTCAAATAATTTAAAAAAACCAATATTTTTGTAAAAATCTAAGTCCTCCCGCAGATAATTCACAAACAGGAAAAGAGGCTGAAATCAACAGATAAATTATTTGCTGTGAATAGCTTGCTGAACTCTATTTTAAATCTGTTTTCTGATTCCTTTTCAGCTGACCATTTATAACAGAGCCTTCTGGCTTCCGTTATCATTGCCTGTAGGGCCATCTCTACCAGCCTCAGCACTGCAGCCCCCGATCTGGAATTTCTTTTCTGAAGCACCATCCGCAGTCCTGGAGCATCTTAAAGGTCAGCAGTTCACTCTCTTCAGAGACACAAGCTCTACAGGCTCTATCATTATTTTAGCATTGTCTGATAATACATGGAATTGTTTTTCTCTTATTAAGAAATAAATAGCTCTCTAGTGATTTTTTTCATTATGATAATGTTAAATCATTTCCAACTGTAGAGAACATAATGTATGGTGCACAGAAGCCCCAAAGTATTTATTTCCACATTGGAAATCAGAATATTAAACTTTCCAAAGAACTCCACATTGGTGCACGTACTGCTGTTGTTTCACATCCAGTCTGTCTGCAAGAGTCAAGATAAATTTACACAGGAATCCATGAATTCACTTTAATCATTTGTTCTGGAAAATCTGAACGGATACATTTTGAATTGTCAGAAAACTCATTTGTTGCTAAAATGTGAGGAATATATATTTCATGCCTTGCTTAGAGATTATGGGCACTGAGTAGCCTAAATCCCAGGTAATCTTAGAGAAAAAAATATCATCTGTTGTCTCACTGAAATGGAGAGCCAAAATAAAATATTATATTTAAATAAATATCTCTTATGAAAAGGAAAATATTCACTTGTTTCTATGGCATGTTTTCTTTTACCAGCTCGTTGCTCAGTTTCCCAAGACAAGATCACAACCTTCAATGAGGTACAGTTTAACTACTCACTGCCCACAAACTGCTACCACATCTTGGCCCAGGATTGTAGCCCAGAACTGAAGTTCCTGGTAATGATGAAGAATGCGGAAGAATCTGCTGACCTTAAAGCAATTAATATCAAGCTTGGCAGTCAGTAAGTAATTCTAAAACTCTTTACAATAATCCAGTCCTGAAGTGACAAAAGCACCTCGAATAAAACACTCTTAGCTTCTGCTGCAAACTTGATGTACGAGATTGCAAACTTCACTAAAAAAAGACGGGCACTCCCCACTACATTTTCCTCGGAGGGAGCAGATGTTACCTCTGCCACATACTCTGCAACTCATCAACCCCACATCCATTTTATCTGGACTGTGATTTGGCCAGTTTGTTTCCATCCAACTCCTTTTCTGGCCTGACACTGGAAATGCAAAGGTATCACACCATCCAGATGTAACGCAGAAGAGACTTCTGTCTAAGGCCTGCTCTACACTAGGGGGTGGGGGATCAATCTAAGTTACGGAACTTCAGCTACATGAATAACGTAGCTGAAGTCGACATACTTAGATCTACTTACCGTGGTGTCTTCACTGCGGTAAATTGATGGCTGACGCTCCCCCGTTGCCTGCGCCTCTCGCCCTGATGGAGTACCGGAGTCGACGGCAGAGCGCTCAGCGGTCGATTTATCGCGTCTAGACTAGACTAGACCCCCGTTGGATTGATGGCTGCCCGTTGATCCAGCGGGTAATGTAGACAAGCCCTAAGCGTTACATTGGTGATATTGCACCCAGAGTTGTGTCAGTGTTTCCCTTTATACCTCATGTGCATCTTGAATAAGATGGATGGCAAAACAGAACATGATGTTACCCCACACAAAAGGTGGGATGGGCATCTGTGATGTGCATTTATGATAACTATGATGTTGAAACAAGATAATGCTAAAATCAGGGATATTTAGTGAAAGAGGTTGTAGTCTGGACATGGTGTGAATATAAATTCATTTTTTCCTCTTTTCAAAGTGAAATTGACATGTATCCGGCAAATGGACTTCTTAACCTCATGGTCAATGGTGTTGAAACCCCAGTGGAGAATATCACATATACATCTGACTTTGGTAGGTGTCCATTTAGCCCTTTCTCATAGGTTGTATCAGGAGAGAGAGAAATATACTCCAGTAAAGGTATTTTTATCATTTTGGCAGTGATATTGCTTGAAACAAACATTTTTACCTTTGTACTTAAGGCTAAAGAGTAATATTTACTCTTTACAAATTGTGCATTTATTTACATATTTGCAGATCAGCATTTATAAAGACAGACTAGAATTGGGAACTTTTGAAAAGTTAAGCAAGAGACAGTTGAGGTTAATTGACCCACTGCTCCCTTTCTAAAATATGTAGGCATTTAGGATTCTGACTCGCAGAAGTTCTGAACTGGAGGAAGGGTATTATTTTATCCCAAATGTTTTGATCACATATATGATGAAACTTTTCCAAATATAGCTTTTCTTATAATTGCCATATCTATATGTTGGGACTTTTTTGCCAACTTGACTTATATGTGACATTTGGGGATTTTATATCAATAGAAAAAATCAAGAGAAATATTTATAAAAACAGAACACTAACAAAAATTATGGAGAACTGTAGGAATAAAGTCAGCCACTAGGCAGAACCTATTCTGTTCTCTCAATGCATACACATTTTGTTCTATGAATAGACACATTGAAACTTTGTTTACAATCAAGAGAGCTGGATACAGTACAGTTGTACCCAACTTGGTTATAATAACACAGTTAAAAGCTGTAGGACATAGATGGGGCCAAACATTTCCAAAACTGGATTAACATTTTGGGAGTCCAGGGTTTTATCCCATTATCATTTACTTGGTTACAGGTAACTGCTATAAATGGATCAGGTGACTACCAAGTTGCAGTCAAGTCTCCTGACTCCATTAAAGTGTAGACAGGGCCTTAATATCTACAAAAATGTGATACTAAGTATTGGCGGACTCCATTATTGTTCCCTGAAATAAATAGGAACCTGTTAATATTTACAAAGGAAAATTAATACAAAAGTGATTGTTAAGGCCATAGAGTTAAAATTATGTTTCCCTAGTTCCTGCCAACAACTACATTCCATATTTGCAAATTTTAAGGAAAGTAATTAGTTAATATACAGTGTGTTTTGGTTCTTCAACAACAACAAAATACCTGAAGAAAAACAAGGCTTTGATTATATTTTTACAGAATTATTATAAAGATTATAAAAGATCATTTGTATTTTTATTACAGATGCTTCTCTGATGATCAGCAATGAGAAGAAAGGTCTATCACTTGTGGCTCCTGACTATGGCATTGATAAACTATATTTTGATGGACGTACATTCAAGGTATTTTTCTCTCCTCTGCAAGTGTTTTCATTTGCATAAACTTCCCAGAAAATCCACAAAATGCCGTATTTACACAAGGGAATCTCTGCTAATCAGATCACAAGATTATTTTACTCCATTTAGTGATAAAGCCCCAATTCCGCATTCAGACTCCAGTATCCATACTGATTCCTATTCATTGAAGTAGATGAAACTTTGCATGAGTGCAAGGGTCTGCATTAGCAAAGCCAACTTTAAGATCAGGGTAAAAGAGTTTACAGAATAACAGCCTCCAGCCAGTCATCATAATATTCGTCTCTTACACAGCTCCTCTCCTCTGAGGATCTCAAAATGTTTCACAGACATAGAGGAATTAAGCCTCAGAACATGCTGGTGTGTTAGATAAACTAAAACATGGGGTGGTGAAGTGACTTGCCCAGAACACACATTGAGTCAGTGACATAGTTGCAAAGAGAACTCAGGAATTCTGAATCCCTGTCCCCTGTACTTCTCATTATATAACTCTTCAACTAGTCAAAACTCTGATTTTTTAAAAAACTCTAATAGAAGAATGCTCTGCTAGGAATGTAGAAGATCAATAAATGCTATGTATAGCAAGTGCTAATTGAGCTATTAAAAACATACATCAAACAAAATGTTTACATCTTCAGCATCAATCATTTAATAGATTAGACATGGACACACGGATTTTCAAAAGGACCTAATGGAGCTAAGCACTCAAATAACTCTCACTCAGGCCCCTTTGAAAATCTCAGCCAGAGTGATTGTTACGGAAAGCACAGAATCAAATCTTGTTCTTTAAAAACAAATATCTTGGCTTTGCCTTAACTTTTATTTTCCTCTGCAATTATGTTACCTCAGGAGACCATTCTGTAACAAAATTCTGCTTCATTGACATTATCCTTAAATATTAACTTGAATTAACTTTTACTTTGTTTTCACAAAGGTTCAAGTTGCTTTCTGGATGGCGGGGAAAACATGTGGCATTTGTGGAAAATATGATGCTGAAAATAAACAGGAATTTCAGATGCCCAGTGGATATGTAGCTAAAAATGCAGTGAGCTTTGGGCAGTCTTGGATTCTGTCAGAAAAGCCTTGTGCTGGCGGTATGAAAACTTTACTATACATAATGTATGATTACTACAGCTAGTTAGAAAACTGAATTTCCATCCTGTGGGAAATTGACATTTTGAAAAAAAAATCTCAAATAAGTATGAAAAGTTGAAATCTTGAAATATTTCTCAGAACAGAAATTCCAATATAATTTGATTCAGAAACATCAAAAATACTTTATTGAAATGATTCATTTTGATAACGTTGAAACGTTATAAAATATTAACTCGGGTATATGAATATTAAATATAACATACATAATATTAAAATTAAAGTTTAAAAAACTTTAAAAAATTTAACGTTGAAATGAAACAATAAAGCCATAATGAAACCAATCAAGAGGAAATGAAAGAAGAGAGTAAAAACAAAATACTCCATTTCAATTTCAAATAGTTTCCAAAATTTTCCATTGAGAATTGCATCAAAATCAACACATTCCTGCAAAAAAACTTGTATTTCAATGAAATAGCATTGTTTGACAGAAAACTTTTCCATCAGATTTTTTTGACCAGCTCTCATTATTACTTTGAGTGATAATTTAAATTGTTGGATCAATGCAACTATTTTTGGTCTGATCCAACAAAGCACTTAAGCACATTCTTAACTTTAAACATGTGAGTACTCCCATGGATTTCACTGGCACTACTCATGTGCTTAAGGTAAAGCGCATGCTTAAATGGTTTGGAGGTGGGATAGCTCAGTGGCTTGAGCATTGGCCTGCTAAACCCAGGGTTGTGAGTTCAATCCTTGAGGGGGCCATTTAGGGAACTGGGGTAAAAATCTGTCTGGGGATTGGTCCTGCTTTGAGCAGGGGGTTAGACTGGAGGACCTCCTGAGGTCCCTTCCAGCCCTGATATTCTATGATTTGATGAATTGGGGCCCTTGTAGTTTATTCAGTTACATCAGTTTAAATTACAATGCCGTTCAGCATATATAGTGCCTACATTCAATGTGTGCATAGAGCGTAAAATTATACTCAGCAGTAAGTTGAGGTTCTTCTCATCCTCCTGTAACTGGCTGTAGCGATCACCGAAGATCAGATCTATCTGTTACTGACCAATGGGGATTGTTTCTTCGTCACAATAACACCCAGCTCTACCATATATCCACAAATATATTTAATCAGAATGGCCATGATATTCATGCCATTCTCTATTGATTATTTTTATTTCTGCACAGCTCCAGGTCCTTCTCCTGAAGATTGAGATCTATTCTCTGTTAAACTCAGGTCTCGCACTTACTCAGTGAATCAACTTACCCACATAATATTCATTAGGAAATACATTAGGTTAAATATCTCCATATTCATCTAGAGATAACTCAGGACTCCATCTGAAATAAGCATCCTATATCCCCATATATATCTAATTAAATAAAACAAAGGAAAATTATTAGTCAGGGATATTGCTTTACATGTGATCCATATAGAATTTTGGATGGAGCCAATATTAGATATACACAAAATATCACTAGCAGATGGAGAAATTTGGGGAAAATCTAAAGCCATTTACACAAGGTTTTGAAATATCAATGATTATTTTATTTGCAGCCTGTAAATTGCAGCGCTCACTTGTGAAACTTGAGAAAACAATTCGGCTTGAGGGCGAAGACTCAAAATGCTACCCTGTTGAGCCTGTGCTGCGCTGCATGAAAGGATGTTCAGCAACTGAGACCACCCCAGTTTCTGTTGGCTTCCATTGTCTGCCAGCTGGTAAGTCAACAAAAAATCCTATTATAGAAGCTATCCAAATATTTACTAATTTAGGCCCTGATTAGCCAGGTGCTTAACTTTAAGCAGGTGAGTAATCTCTGTGATTTCAATAAGACTACTCACATGCATAAGCTTTGGCATGTGCTTAAGGACCTCACTGAATTGCAGTCTTAATCAATAACATTTGGTGTGTGACACTATCTTTAGTGGATGTAAAAATAAATATGTTGCCTGTCAGCATTTTATGACATTTTTCCTGGTAATGACTTTTTAAATCTGTAGCTAAATGAAGGTCCCATATTATCTATTGTTTATTTATCACTGTCTATGGGCCTGATCCTGCTTCCATTGAAATCATTGGAGTTTTGTCAATGGTTTTGGGGGGTAGAGCCAGATTCTAAGAGAGCAACTGAGATTTCACGAATATTGGTATCTACAATGCATTTTTCTTTGTTTTCAAAGTTTGACATTTAAAAAACAATAGATTCAAAATGAACTAGTATAAATGAGCATTATAATTGCTGTCTTTTAAATAATGATTAGTTTGTTGTGATGGCTGATTTTCAATCCAGTTAGTCAAATGAAATGTGCATGATAATTAGGAGAATCTAAGGGCAGGTCTACACTTACTTCCTGGTCCGGCCGTAAGCAATCGATCTTCTGGGATCGATTTATCGTGTCTTGTCTAGACGCGATAAATCGATCCCGGATCGATCCCGGAAGTGCTCGCCGTCGACGCCGGTACTCCAGCTCGGCGAGAGGCGTATGCGGCATCGACGGGGGAGCCTGCCTGCCGCGTCTGGACCCGCGGTAAGTTCAAACTAAGGTACTTCGAATTCAGCTACGTTATTAACGTAGCTGAATTTGCGTACCTTAGTTTGAAGTGGGGGGTTAGTGTGGACCAGGCCTAAGTCCAGTCAGTGTACTAATGAAGTCTGTATAACGAATCCCACGTATTGCAAATTGACTGTTCTTTTTTCTTCATTCTTATCCGTCATTTTTCTTCACTTCCAGATTCAGCTGCCAGCTTAGTTGAGGGACAGATGAAGCTTGACCAGAAGTCAGAGGATATACAGGACACAGTTGAAGCCCACACAGCATGTTCATGTGAGGAACTACAGTGCATTGCATGAGGCTACAGTTCAGCAGATTAGAAACTTGGAGCATTATTTTTATACTGTGATGCCAGAAAATTCCTCCCAGGCAATCACAGATATGTTAATTTAAGTGTTTAAAGTCCTACTGAATCTTCTTAGAGAAAACTGATCTTTCAAGGAAATGTTAAACTTTATCGCTGTAGAAACAATACTGACTATTCATACATATGTGATTTCCTAATAAATCTGTGCATCTAAAAAGAAATGGTGAAGAGTCCCTTATTTCACAGTATATAGAAAGGAAGAGGTCTGTTTTACTTCATGTCACACACACCTACTTCCCATCTTAATGGGACTGTTCAATGTAGTAAAGAATTGTTGTTGTTATTTATTATTACTCAGCACCTAGGAGCCCTAGTCAGGGACTAGCATTCATTGTGCTAGGTGCTGTACAAACACAGAACAAAAAGACGATCCCCACCCTTAGCTTACAGTTAAGTACAAGACAAAAGACAACAGAGGATACAAACAGACAGGGGAGGACAAGAAGTCAGCGTGAGAGGTGTGGTCTCAACACATGTGGCCTAAACATTGACAAGTTTTTTGTAGGTCTGGTGGCAAAGGAGAGTTTCGAGGAGAGATTTAAAGGTGGATAATAAGGTTGTTTTGTGAACATTTATGGGCTGCACCTCCCAAATGTGTGGGGCAGCATGGGAGAAGGCATAAAGGGGCATGTTTGAGAATTTAACTACTTAGTACTTAAAACTACTTACTTCAATGTATAAAGAGCCTAATTCTGCTCTCACACCAGTGTGAACCAAGAGTTTTTTAATTGCAGGCAGTGAAGTTACATCCATGTAAAACTGGTGTTACTGAGGTCAAAATCAGGCCCAAAAACGCTTGTCCTTTTTGTGTGAAAGTCTGGTGTCAATGGGCGTTTCACCACTGACTTGAGTGAGGACTGGCCTTTACCTTTTGTGTTTATCCCCATTGACTATTAAGCATCCTGTTGAGGAATATTGCCACCAAGCTATTTCATTACTGACACCTTTTTATTTTTTACATGCCACTCTGTTGATGCAAAGCAGAAGACAGTCTAACTGGCATCGTGAGGCTTAGTTAACGTTTGCAATGCACTTTGAGATGAAAAGGTTTTATATAAGTGCTAAATATTATAATTACTTGTAATTATCACTTATATAGCAGCTTCTATCTAAGAATTTCAAACCTTAATTGATTAAATTCACAGCATCCCTGCGAAATAGGTATGATTGGTATTATTATGCTCAACATACAGACAGGGAAACTGAGGCATCAATTAGTTAAATGACTTACCTATAGTCATGACATGAGCTAGTATCAGCTCTGGTACTGAAAACCAGATCTGCTGACTTCAAGTCTTGTCATCTCTGTCCCACTAGATCATGGTGTATTATTTTTCATAATAACTATTATTATTTTATTAATATTCATATATACAGAAAACACTGTGAGAGATTTGTACAGGTTAGAATTATCATAATTGTGAGCTAGCTCCTTCTCACTGAGGCTGATACTTTCAACATTTGTGACTGTGTGTGAGGATTTATTGTTTGAAAACATGGCTCCAAAGTTAGTGGGAGCATTAAGTGTTAATGTTAATTAAATTTTCAATTACTTCATGGTTACCCTGTGTTACAAATAGTGTGATGTACACAGCTGCTTTTTTAATACTTGGAACTATCTCACTATCACCCACCTTAACTACATTGCACTCAGTGGAGTTGCTATTTTGTAGACCATAGATCATTTGGAAGTCAACTCATTTCTACTATGTCCTTTGCTTTCTAACAAAGCAGTATTAGGACAGTTGCATTATAGAGGATATGGTCTGGCATGAATCTTTCAGCACTGAGGCTAGCTTAATACCAAAATTACAAACACACTGCACTCTGGAGCTGTGATGGAAAATACAGATTTCATGGATATCCCATAGTGCACTATTGTAAGAGAACTCATCAGACTACAAAGCCTGAAATAAATATGAGACATGAACCCACCAGAACTCCAAGGGATGTGCTGGCATAAGCGTCATGCCCGACTCTCATTCTGACCAATGATGGTCAGTCTTTGGTTGCAGCTGCATGCCCCTTTCTCCCTCCCTTTCTGCAGCCAAGCTCATTCCCTCACACACCCTCTCACCATCATGAGCTGTCTCAGCATGGGCTGGATGCCAAGCCCTACTCATCTTCCGTTTATGTTCACAACATACCCACAGAGATGTGAGATAAACATACTTTTGCTAGAACATTGCAATGTAACACTACTTTATTTCTTAGAATTCAGAACAGTGACACTCAAGAACCCAAAAACAAAAACACAGAGAGAGAGAAAACAGGCTTCTCCTTGAGGCAGTGAGGCACAATTCACCCCACCTTGCTTTAAATTGGCTTTTTCCAGACAGGTTGGTTGCTGACTGACTCAGACAACCCAGACCACAGGGCTTCACTCAAAGCCCCCTAGTCTGTAAGCAGAATTAGGAAATCTCTCATGCTTAAAGTAATCGCTGGTCATTTAAACCAGTTTCCAGTATACCACGCTTCCGAGGCATCGTGCCAATCTTTGGAAGACTTTCCCTCTTCAGGCCTCCCCATTCAAACTCAAGGAAGAAGAAAAAAGAACATAATGGGTAAGTTATTGAGGCAAAAAGATCCTAAAAGAAAATGGACAGATACCCTTACAAAGCAGGAGACCTGCCCCAAGCAAATTCACCTGACTACAGTGGGAGCCGAGAGCCAATCAACAACTTTCTCAACCCCAATGGCAGAAGCAGCTTCTGAGCTGAGAGGGGAGCAGTGAACCACTCAATAACCTCCTGCTTCACAACAGTTCTGGTAATGGTTTTTTCCCCTATTCCACTGCAGTCAATGCACAAAAGCACATTATCCTGTTTTGTAGGGCTCTAAGCCAATAAGCAAATGTCCTTTCTGGGCTCATGTGTCCTGGATGGAGACTTGTCAAAGAGGATAATTTTCTTGTAATGTTTTTATTTATTTATTTTGAATTTTAAGTAAATAAGAAGCCTCTAGGCAGCCCTAATGCCTCATTAAACATAAAATAAAATCCCAGTAGCATTAATGCATTCCTTTAAACAGGAACTCAGCCAGCCACTTACAGAGACTCCTTTCTGCCCCACAATCATCGTGCAACGCCAGTACATCCTCAGCCAATCCAAAAACCCTCTCAGAGGTCTGTTGTAGTGCACCAGAAAATCACCAAATTTGGACAATTTTGGACTGAGGAGAAAATTCCACAGTCCTAGAGCCCTCACAGAAAACACTCTGCCAGCCTCTTCTACTTGAACCACATTGCAATGTGCTTGCAAGATGCTGAACTGGTTCCAAACTTCTCCAAAATGTGGCGTGGTCAGAAATGGGATCTTTGGTCAGCCCTTGGTAGCAAGAAACCAGCATGGAAATTCAGACCCAGCTTTAGATCCAACTTTATTCAAAATTTGGTGATGTTCAGAATCAGGGATCTGGCCTGGGCTCATTTCTAATGAGTAACACTCATAAACACCCCTAAAAGCACAATGCTGCCAAGCAGCTTAGCCACTGAACTTCCTAAAGTGCCAGGCTAAATGGCATAGGACTGAAATAGGGATACTGTAAGTGGAAGGCCAGGGATGATCTCAGGTGTGTTTCTCAACTCCAAAAGAGCTAAGGCGGGATCTCTACCTGATGCAGCTGTTTTGTGAAACACTGATTTTATTGTCTGAATGGTTCTCTCAGCCATTCCAGTAGATTGTGGGCAACACCAGCCCATGACTAGAGGGTGTTGGGTCATTCACCAAAGTACACAAATGTGTGTGTGTGTGTGTGTGTGAGAGAGAGAGAGAGAGACTAAATATGATTCTCCAACACAGCAAATCTATAACAGCCTGCTACTGATTTGCCGTATTCATGAGTCCTATTTATTAGCAGGGCATTCATCTGCTCCAGCATATGCACAGACTGAGCAATCAAGGTCTGACAGGAAGAGCAGCGGTGGCAATTTTCAGGGGTGTTTGGGGTGCTGGATCCACTGCCACAGGCAGCGGTGACTGGCGAGTGCTGTAACATGTTGTGCTCCAGCTGATCTGTATAGACCCTGCCGATGCTCTCTAAAAGGTATCTACTTTGTGCAGATGTAATCCCATTTCCGACAAGACTCAGTGCTTAATTTGTACCAGGGCTGAGCCATGGCACCTCTAGGCTTGGCAGTTCATAGCTCTGGCACCTCTGGGATTGCTGCATCAGTTACGGATGTAAGAAAATTGCTTGAGCCCCGGCACCCCTTTCATTACAAATGAAGCACCGACAGGACTCCATTAACATACTCTAGGTACCTTTCAGAGTGCACCAGCAGAAGGCAGATAGAAAGAAACATTTTACAATGCTCTACAGCAGGGGTTCTCAAACTACATTGCACCGTGACCCCCTTTTGACAACAAAAATTACTTCACGACCCCAGAAGGGGCTTCAGCCCCAGGCAGGGGGCCTGTAACCTACCCTGCTGCCCAGGGTTGAAGCCCTGGGGCTTTGGCCCTGGGCGGTGGGACTCGGGCTTTGGCTTTGACTCCGGTCCTTAGCAACTCTAAACCAACCCTGGCGACCCCATTAAAATGAGGTTGTGACCCACTTTGGGGTCCCGCCCCACAGTTTGAGAATCGCTGCTCTACAGTTTACATCCCTCCAGTCCAAGTGCAGACTAGTGGTGGGTTGCTAAAGGTGAGCAGTGTGTGGGTGTTGCTAGGGTGATTCCTAGCTGGGGATGGGCCTGGTGAGGGGAATTCTTAGCTGGAGAAACTGGTGGGTAGGTGCTCTAGGGGAGGTCCTTAGCGGCGTGTCCAGGAAGCATCAGGCACTAGGACTGGCTTGGATGGTGGGCTGTCTCTGTCTCCCCCTCTCAGGCTCTGCTGGCTGGGGCAATGCCTGAAGCTCAGTGCTGCAGTGAAGGCAGCAGAGTTGCTGGCGGAGGCCTCACCAGGCAGGGCAGGAGAAGTCGGTGGCAGAGAGAGGGAACACAACAGAGGGAGAAGAGGAGGATCCTGGAAAGGAGGTCCAAGCCTGGAACTGGCCAAGGTATGTAAGGACTCAAGGTGGCGAGGCAGGGCAACTTTCCTTGGGCTGATCCTCCCATTCTCTCTGTTTGGGGACGGGGCTAGGGGTAGGCGTGCCATGGGGACAAGTGGGCATGGGTTTTTTCTGCTACGCTGCACTGGC